CACCCCCAGAAACATCATGCATACATCACAGAAAGGAGGGGTTGAGGGAGGAGTTGGTGGTAACCTGAGTGTCTTGTCACCTGGCTGGTTCCTCCTTTTCCCCCTCCCCATGAGTCACTTCCAGGAGACAAAGGGGAGTTTGCAGTTTCCTGCCCCCTGAGGGAAGATCTGATCAGAGTCCTTTGTTTCAGTCCATGCTGAATCCACTCCCATATGCAAGTTCTTTGTGATCTTGATTGTCTTCTGTCTGGGATCATCAGGGTTGGCATAGCCATAACTGGGCAGGGCTCCTGTAGATGTGCTGGGATGGTGAAGGGATTATGGCTGCCCTGTATCAAATCTTCCCCATTTTGTAGTCTTTCCTTCATGGAGTAGAATAAAAATGGAACAGTGCAAATCCGTTGTATGGTTGATTTTCTTATGAATTTATAACAGAAGTGTGGCGTATGTAGTGTGTGAGTGTGAGTGTGTGTGAAGTTTGTACAAACAGAATGATTGGGGGGGGGGGTTCCTGCTACAATTTGCAATGTTGCAGGGTCCATCAGGGCAGCTCTGGGGTTTCCATAACTTGCTGGCTTGGCGTTTTGCAAGTTTCCTTGATTGTCTGACCCCACACATACAGACCTCCCTCTTTCTCTCCCCCCACCCAAAAAATAAGTCCTCCGGAGATACTGGGAGGGCAAAGCCCCCCAAGCTGAAAAAGAAGAGAGTGGTGCTTGGGATCCCAAGAAGCCACTGCAGAATGAGCCCCCCCCAATGGGTCCTGGCAGGAAGAAGTGGATATCGGGTATGAGGGAGGTGGAGGGGAGTAGGTCTGCATTGCAGGGGGGTCTAGATGGCCCTTGGGGGTCCCTTCCAATTCAGCCAGTCTGAAGTCTGGGAAAGGGGCTGAATCTTTGGGGAGTGGAGATACAACTTGCCCCCAATCTCCCCAATTCCACTCTTGCCTGGTTCATTCTTGGGAGTTTGCTGTAATCCCTGCCTTGCAGGGGGTTGGACTAGATGGCCCCTGGGGGCCCTTCTGACCCTGTGATTTCTTCCAGAAGGTAGACCTATTTCCTGGCCCAGCCTCCATCCATTGTTCTCTGCTAATTTGACCTCCACCCCTATTATTCTGCCTTTCCTATCCTTAAATATTTGTTTGAAATCTAATTTGGGGTTAATATACAAAACCACTTCCCTTTTCTTGGTTTTTTTCTGTGTGTTTCCTGCAAATATATAATGTCCACTTTTTGTTTTAGCAAGATTTATGTTATAAGGTTTCTTTTGGTTTCATTCTTAAGTCCATTTATGTTCCACAAGAGCACTTTCAGATCCACCCCAATGTCCTCTATTTTTTGTCCCTTTACTCCTCTCCCTCCTCCTCCTGCTTGTCATGTTTCCTCTAATTCTCCAAAGTCTTTATTACTATTATTATTAATTTTTCATTAATAATTTCATTAATAATTGATACAATACCAAATTTTAACATCCAAGATGAAAATTTTGTTCTTTTTGTTGTCCCTCCTCAGACAGCCCTATTTCATAGAATCACAGAGTTGGAAGAGACCACAAGGGCCATCGAGTCCAACCCCCTGCCAAGCAGGAAACACCATCAGAGCACTCCTGACATATGGTTGTCAAGCCTCTGCTTAAAGACCTCATTTCATTCCGCCGTCTTACCTTCCAGGACTCTGGGCTGTCTTCCAGCTTTCCTTTGTTTAGATAAAATTAAGACACATGTAATGTATGGGATGCGGATGGCAGTGTGGGTTAAACCACAGAGCCTAGGGCTTGCTGATCAGAAGGTCAGCGGTTTGAATCCCCATAACGGGGTTAGCTCCCGTTGCTCGGTCCCAGCTCCTGCCAACCTAGCAGTTTGAAAGCACGTCAAAGAGCAAGTAGATAAATAAGTACTGCTCTGGTGGGAAGGTAAACGGTGTTTTCGTGCACTGCTCTGGTTCACCAGAAGCGGCTTAGTCATGCTGGCCACATGTCCTGTTGCAAGGATTTTTAAGTACCTGTGACCCTCTCAAATAGTGTCCAAGAATTGACAGACGCAGCAGTGAAGAAAAAGAAAGTGAGGTTTATTGCTGAGCAATAATTGACCCAGTGGAAATCTTTCCAAAAGACTGGGCCCCGGGCTCTAGCGCCCAGAAGCTTTATACCTGAGTACATACTTCATAGATCATGACATAATCAGATACAATTGCAAACGGCAGCAAAAATAAAGCTAATGAGCGCATTCCAGCCTTGCCTCTTCTGATCATGTAAAGAGTTCCCTCCCAACTTCTGCTTTTTCAGTCTGAACATGCAGTTTTAACCTTTTCCCCAGATTTATGGTAAGAAACAGAAAATTTGAGAAAAGGAACTTCGGCTGTTGTGCTCCTATGCGGCCATCTGCTATACATTCTGCGCTTAGCATCTTCCTGTTTTAACTGCTCAGACCTTGTCTGGACAAGGGGGGAAAGTGCCAGCACATCAGATTTATTGCTGCCCCCCTTTGGTTAGCGAGACATTGAAAAGAACAAGGAAGGGTACTGGGGCAGAGTTCATTTAGGATTTTTTCAGATTTAAGCAATTTGCTATAAGCTTTTGCAGAAGCTTTCACGATTCAAACATGGATTATATAAAATCATCATATAAATATCTGGTTATATATGGATATATATGGATATATGGATAACTGATAACTGATTATATGGATAACTGATTATATGAAAAGCATAAGGATAAATTCCTTCAGGTCCTGCTTCAGTCCCTGAAGCTGTACGCTGGCTCCCTTGGCAAATAAAGCAAGATGAGTGCCGTGCCCCAGAATCGAACATGACTGGACCTAATGGTCAGGGGTCCCTTTACCTTTGATGTATTTTAACGGAGTGATATTTTCCCAAACTGAAAAATCTTCTGTAAGAGACCACTCCATGGGATAGATTTCACAGATAATAATTGTTCGGTCCCTCTACAATCCCAACCTTGCTCCCCCTGGGCCCTAAAATCAAAGATTCACCTTCACTTTTACAAATCCATACACAACAAAAGTTCATGCAAGCAGGTGTGGTTTCCTGTGTGAAATATTCCTCAGTTGTAATCTGTCGGTTGTCTTCAGCCCCCTTTGAGAGGGACCCCTTTTTTTCTAATGCGCCATCATTTGTGCTGTTGTAGCATCCCCAGCCGAAATCATATTTAATCATGTATTTGAACAAAGTCTCTCCATATCTTCAAACAGGCTGATACCTTGCCAGTTCTAATTAGAGCCCTCCACAAAGGACCGCACCATTAAACATCAAATTCTCAAGTTTTTTTTTAATATAGTTTCACTTGCATTCCATTTCATTAATTGAATCTTTCTCCATGAGGCTTGCCAAATCATGAAGTAGCTGTCAGTACTGCAGTGTTTCATTCTATCATTGCACAGTGTGACACTGTGCCTTTAATTGCCTAATTACCTAATGTATCATCGTGTGAGAACGGGAGCGATTTCTATATCTCCTCCCCCTCCTCCCCTCTGGCGCTTGCATCTGGCTTTTGCTGAAGGATACGGCTGCGTGAGTCAGCTCTTCGCTCTGTTGACTTCTTATTTTCTTGATGCTGCATTCCAACCAGAGTCTGCTTCTGCTGTACTCTGCTACTATGGGTGAAGTTCCTCACCATTCGGACAAGTGAGGGAGGGCGTTGGCCCAACAGCACTAAGTATCAAAAAAGATGAAACGCTCACCTCACATCTTCTGTAGCAGAGCGACAAAAGTCCATTCAAAGTCTGAATTCAAATCTTTGTTGAAAAACAGGAATGCTCCCGCTCATGGCGTTGGCATCGGAGAGTGTCCAATTCGTGCAATGCTAAACACCCAGCGCCCCTGCCTCCACTGCAGCGAGCAGCAGATATCGGACGGCGTGCGGGTGAAGGAATATCCGCCCCATCCCTGCGGGGTTCAACAGGGATAATTACCCCCAGATCCAACTTGTTTAATTGCATGAGCTGACAGTGAAATGGAACTCTCTCAGAAGGGGGTGGACCTTCATTGGGGGGTTCTGGGTTCTAAGAAGTTGGATGGCCACCTGTCATGGGTGCTTGAAATGAGATTTCATAGAATCATAGAGTTGGAAGAGACCCCAAGGGCCATCGAGTCCAACCCCCTGCCAAGCAGGAAACACCATCAGAGCACTCCTGACATATGGTTGTCAAGCCTCTGCTTAAAGACCTCCAAAGAAGGAGACTCCACCACACTCCTTGGCAGCAAATTCCACTGCCGAACAGCTCTTACTGTCAGGAAGTTCTTCCTAATGTTTAGGTGGAATCTTCTTTCTTGTAGTTTGGAACCATTGCTCCGTGTCAGCTTCTCTGGAACAGCAGAAAACAACCTTTCTCCCTCCTCTATGTGACATCCTTTTATATATTTGAACATGCCTATCATATCACCCCTTAACCTCCTCTTCTCCAGGCTAAACATGCCCAGCTCCCTTAGCCGTTCCTCATAAGGCATCATTTCCAGGCCTTTGACCATTTTGGTTGCCCTCCTCTGGACACGTTCCAGTTTGTCAGTGTCCTTCTTGAACTGTGGTGCCCAGAACTGGACACAGTACTCCAGGTGAGGTCTGACCAGAGCAGAATACAGTGGCACTTTTACTTCCCTTGATCTAGATGCTATACTCCTATTGATGCAGCCCAGAATTGCATTGGCTTTTTTAGCTGCCGCGTCACACTGTTGGCTCATGTCAAGTTTGTGGTCAACCAAGACTCCTAGATCCTTTTCACATGTACTGCTCTCAAGCCAGGTGTCACCCATCTTGTATTTGTGCCTCTCATTTTTTTTGCCCAAGTGCAATACTTTACATTTCTGGAGGGGGTTGGACTAGATTCTGAATCTATAATTCTATACTTCACCCTGGTGTGAGATCTTAAATTGACTTTTGAACAAGTGAAATTTTATACACATTCCATGTGCTGATATGCTTTCAACCCCGTATGAAATATTTGGTGGGCCATGAATGAATCCTTTCCCACATTCCAAACACTAAACCGTTTCCTCTCTTGTATGAATTCTTTGATGGGAAATGAGAGAGCTGCGTTGACTGAAGTTCTTTCCACATTCCAAGCACTGAAAGGGTTTCTCCCCTGTATGAATTCTGTGATGGGAAGAGAGTGTGGCACTTTGACTGAAGCTCTTTCCGCATTCCAAGCACTGATAGGGTTTCTCCCCTGTATGAATTCTTTGATGGGAAGTGAGTTCACCACTCAGACAAAAGCTCTTTCCACAATCGAAGCACATATAGGGTTTCTCCCCTGTATGAATTCTGTGATGGGAAGTGAGTTCACCACTCAGACGAAAGCTCTTTCCACATTCGAAGCACTGATAGGGTTTCTCCCCTGTATGAATTCTGTGATGGGAAGTGAGTTCACCACTCAGACGAAAGCTCTTCCCACATTCGAAGCACTGATAGGGTTTTTCCCCTGTGTGAAGTCTTTGATGGGAAGTGAGATCACAACTCAGACAAAAGCTCTTTCCACATTCCAAGCAGTGATACGGTTTCTCTCCTGTATGAAGTCTTTGATGGGAAGTCAGACCACGACTCAGACGAAAACCTTTTCCACAATCCAAGCACTGATAGGGTTTCTCCCCTGTATGAATTCTTTGATGAGAAGTGAGATTCCCCTCGTGACTGAAGCGCTTCCCACATTCTGAGCACTGATAGGGTTTCTCCCCTGTATGAATTCTGTGATGGGAAGAGAGTGCGGCACTTTGACTGAAGCTCTTTCCGCATTCCAAGCACTGATAGGGTTTCTCCCCTGTGTGAAGTCTTTGATGGGAAGTCAGATGACCACTCCGACGAAAGCTCTTTCCACATTCCAAGCACTGATAGGGTTTCTTCCCTGTATGAATTCTTTGATGAGAAGTGAGATTCACCCACGTACTGAAGCTCTTTCCACATTGGAAGCACTGATAGGGTTTCTCCCCTGTGTGAAGTCTTTGATGGGAAGTCAGATGACCACTCCGACGAAAGCTCTTTCCGCATTCCAAGCACTGATAGGGTTTCTCCCCTGTGTGAAGTCTTTGATGGGAAGTCAGATGACCACTCCGACGAAAGCTCTTTCCACATTCCAAGCACTGATAGGGTTTCTCCCCTGTATGAACTCTGTGATGGGAAGTGAGACTCCCCCCCTGAGTGAAGCGCTTCCCACATTCCAAGCACTGATAGGGTTTCTCCCCTGTATGAATTCTGCGATGGGAAGTAAGATGGACCCTCTGACTGAAGCTCTTTCCACATTCCAAGCACTGATACGGTTTCTCCCCTGTATGAATTCTTTGGTGGGAAGTGAGACTATCCTTCCGATTGAAGCTCTTTTCACACTCCAAGCACTGATAGGGTTTCTCTCCTTTATGAATTCTTTGATGGGAAGTGAGACTATCCTTCCGATTGAAGCTCTTTCCACACTCCAAGCACTGATACGATTTCTCCCTACTCTGTGTTCTTTCGTGTGAAGTGAGGCTATTCCTTCGAACGAAGCTCTTTCTTTGATGGGAGGTGGACTGGGAGCTCTGACGGATCTTCTCTCCACACTCTGAATATTTATCTGACTTCTCCGCTATGTGGATTCTGTTGTGCTCCCCCTTGTTCTTCCCTTCTAATTTATCACCATCTGCAATGAAGAGAGATGCTAATTAGAGTCTCAGGAGGAAATGGGAGCTCCAGATTATTGAACAATGTTAATGAATGCTTGTGACAGAGGAAGAACTGAAGAGGATGAGATGTGAGGCCGTCCAATTTTGGACAAGATGGACTGTTTCAAGAGGTGGCAGAAAGATGTATCTAATTTTGTCTGGCAGGGCAAAAAGCCCAGAATAAAATTCAAAATTTTAACAGATGCAAAGGATAGAGGGGGCTTTGCCCTGCCGGACTTAAGACTTTATTATGAAGCAGCAGCTTTTTGCTGGCTGAAACAATGGCTACTTCTTGAGAATACAGACATCTTAGATTTAGAAGGATATGATAATAATTTCGGCTGGCACGCATATTTATGGTATGACAAGGTAAAGGTGCACAGAGGTTTTAAAAACCACATTGTCAGGAAAGCATTGTTTAATGTATGGAACCGTTATAAAGATTTGTTGGAGAATAAAACCCCCAGGTGGTTGTCACCCCTGGAAGCCAAGGCGGTAAAAAAACTCAATATGGATTCAGATTGGCCAAAATATGGTGAAATCATAGAATATGATGGTGAAAAGATTAAATTACAGAGTATGGAGAAATTAAAACCTAAAGTCCGAGACTGGTTACATTACCAGCAGATTAATGAGACGTTTAAGCAAGACAGGAAAGTAGGATTTCAGAAGGAGAGGTCAAAGTTAGAAACAGAATTATTGGAGCCCAATACTAAGATTTTGTCTAGAATGTATAATTTGCTGCTGAAATGGAATACACAGGATGAAACAGTAAAATCAGCGATGATTAAATGGGCACAAGACATTGGTCATGAGATTATGTTTGCAGACTGGGAAAGGTTATGGAACACAGACATTAAATTTACGGCATGTAGTGCCTTAAAAGAGAACATAATGAAAATGATCTACAGGTGGTACATGACCCCAACCAGGCTAGCAAAGATATATCATTTGCCCAATAATAATTGCTGGAAATGTAATGAATGTGAAGGAACCTTTTACCACCTTTGGTGGACCTGCCCAAAGATTAAGGCCTACTGGGAGATGATCTATAATGAAATTAAGAAAATCCTTAAGTGGACATTTGTTAAGAAACCGGAGGCTTTTCTCTTGGGCATGGTTAGCCAAATGGTACGAAGGGAAGACAGAACATTCTTCATGTATGCAACCACGGCGGCAAGAATTCTACTGGCAAAGTACTGGAAGACTCAAGAACTACCTACTCTGGAAGAATGGCAAATCAAGGTGACAGAATTTATGGGATTGGCTGAGATGACCGGCAGAATCCGTGACCAGAGGAGAGAGACGGTGGAAGAGGACTGGAGGAAGTTTAAAATTTATCTTAAGAATTATTGTAAAATTTCGGAATGTTGAAATGTCAAAAGGTATGAGATATAGAATTATAGCGGTTAAATTTGAAATATGAGAAAACTTAAGGAAAAAGAGTTTTGAAATTGAACAAAGGTTTGCTAAGAATTAATATTTTAAAACTAAGGATGCAGTGAAGGGGAGGTTTGGGGAAGTCACATTATGTGTTAATTTGTATTGTTTTGTTGTTGTTGTTTTTGTTTGGTATGTTTTTTGTTATTGTTTATGTTGGTGAAAATTAATAAAAATATTTTTTTTTAAAAAAAGAGATGTGAGGCCGTCCAATAGTTTTCACTGTTTTTGTTTCCTGGTATTAACTGAGATATTGCTTGGCTTTTATCTGGGATGGATATTTTTGTGGCTCAATCATGGAATCCACTACATCTCCAATCACAACATGTTATGATCCAACAGGGATCCTTACTGAGAGAGTCCATGATCCCACGATTCTCCTCCTTGACCTCCCCTGGGTGAGTGCCTGAGGGCCCTGCTCTTGCCACTAACCACCTGGCCCGGGGCGGGGCCTGACAGGCCTCACAACTATGGTTGCTGTTACTGCTGCTGCTGTCCAGGAGGACTCGGAGGCGCAGAGTTCTTTTAAAAATGTTTTTAAATATTTCTTTTGAATTTTTTCTATGTGGGGGTGGGGTGGATGTTTGGTTGGGCCTGGGAATTTGTTTGATTTAGGTGTTTTTGTAATTTTTACAGGTTTTTTGTATTGTTTTATTTTTTAAAGGTTTTTTTTTTTTTGTTTCTAAGGGGAGGGGTCAGGGCTGCCGGGGAGTGGGTCCCAGCCAACAAAATGGCTGGGGCATGTTCCACAGGGGGGGATGCACTGGGACAACCGATCTCAGTGATCACGGGTAGGAGGAGGAGTTACGCTAAGACCAGACCATGTTGTTACAGAGGCAGGTTTAGTCGTTGTCTGAGGACTATCCCTGCCTCCGGGTCTGGTCCTGACTGGATGGATACTAGAATCAGCAAGGGATACCCACATGACCTGAAAGTGTTGCTGTGCAATGCCAGGTCAATGATTCATAAGACCACTGCCATCCATGACTTGATCATGGATGGAGGACTTGACCTGGCATGTGTAACAGAGACTTGGTTGGATGAAACAGATGGGCCTGTCCTTGCCGCTGCTTGTCCACCAGGTTTCTCTTACGCACAGCAACCCAGGACATGTGGGCGGGGAGGGGGGGCTGCAGTGATTTTTAGGAAGTCATTAGTCTGCACCAGGCATCCTATTGGGAAGACTCAGTTTTCTGAGTGCATGTTCTGGAAGTTGGGCTATAGGGGCAGTACAGGATTCCTTTTGGTGTACTGACCTCCCCGCTGCACCAAGGATTCCCTGCCTGAGCTGCTTCAGGTCGTGGCAGATGTTCTCCTGGAGACACCTAGCTTGGTTGTCCTAGGGGATTTTAATATCCATGCTGACACAACCTTACAAGGGGCCGCTCGGGACTTCGTGCAAAGCATGGCCTCCATGGGGCTGTCCCTGAATAAGTCTGCCCAACCCATAGCCATGGACATGCCTTGGACCAGGTGTTCACCTCTAGTGACGTGGGTGATCTGACACTAAGTAAAAGCGAAACAAAAGAAGCGCCATGGTCAGATCACTTCCTGGTGCAACTGGACTTCTCCGCGACCCATCCCCTCTGCAGGGAGGTGGGACGAATTCGGATGGTCCGCCCCCGCCACTTAATGGATCCAAATGGTTTCCAGAGAATGGTAGGGGATGTTTTATCCCATGTTGATGGCCTTTCAGCTGATTCCCTGCTGGCCTGCTGGAATGTGGAGTTAACCAGGGCTATTGACTGTTTGGCTCCGAAGCGCCCTCTCCGACTGCATGGAGCCCGGACAGGACCCGTGGTTTTCCACAGATCTGAGGGCAATGAAACAATCATTGAGACGGCTAGAGCGCCGGTGGCAGATAACTCATTCTGAAGCTGACCGGACAGGGGTTAGAGCTCAATGTCGAGCCTACCAAGTGGCGGTTTTGGCTATTAAATCCTGCTGTCCAGTCAGCGCTTCCCTGCATGGCTCTGCTTGGGGCTGACCTGGGCAGGAAAAACAGAGTTGCAGCAGCGGTCCTGCCGTCCGTGTGAAATAGAGGGATAAATCAAGTCCAGGGACAGTTCGTTGCTATCTCTAAAAGCGTTTATTTACAAGCCATAAATCAGTCTCATTCCATCGGAGCTTTCCGGCATCTCTCCCGTGCCAAAAGCACACACAGCTTCTTTTCAGCGTCTCAGTCAAAAGTGAAACCAACACTCACAGACAAAGACAGACAAAGCCTGTCACGTACGGCCCTGCTCCAGGCCACTCCCCAGATACAGGACAACAAGGAGTTTTAATCCTGTAAACTCCAAACTCCACAGCGGTAGCGACGGCGAAGACTTTCTTCACCAGCTCTATTGCATCTGCAGAAAACAGCAGCAGGAGACTTTTTCTGGTGGTTCGCAATATAGCAGAACCACCTGTTACATCGGGGCCCAGCAAGGGCCACATGATCTCCTGCAATGATTTTGCTAATTTTTTTGCAGATAAAGTCGCTCAGATTCGGGAAGAGGTAGACACCACCGTGGGAGCAGGGCAGGGGCGGGAGAGTGCTAGAGTCCTGTCTAGTCAAATTGTGTGGGATCAATTCCAATCTGTTACCTCCGAGGATGTGGACAGGCTGCTTGGACGAGTGAAACCAACCACCTGTCTCCTTGATCCTTGCCCATCCTGGCTTATAAAAGCTAGCTGGGAAGGGCTGGGCGATGGGCTTCGTGGGGTGGTGAATGCTTCCCTCCGTGAGGGAGCCTTCCCAGACCCGCTGAAAGAGGCGATTATTAAACCTCTTCTTAAAAAACCATCTTTAGATGCGGCCATAATGGCCAACTATCGCCCAGTCTCAAATCTTCCATTCTTGGGCAAGGTGATTGAGCGAGTGGTTGCTGAACAACTCCAGGCACGCCTGGAAGAAGCGGACCATTTGGATCCCTTCCAGTCGGGATTCAGGCCTCATCATGGGACTGAAACTGCCTTCGTCGCACTGGTTGATGATCTCCAGCGGGATAGGGACAAAGGTGAGAGCTGCTTCCTAGTTCTGCTGGATCTCTCAGCGGCGTTTGATACCATCAACCATAACATCCTTCTGGACCATCTTGAGGGGCTGGGAGCTGGGGGCACTGTCATACAGTGGTTCCACTCCTTCCTACTGGGCCGTGTTCAGAAAATGGTGGTGGGGGATAAGTGTTCAGACCCCTGGGCTCTCACTTGTGGGGTGCCTCAGGGTTCTGTCCTCTCCCCCATGCTTTTCAACATTTACATGCAGCCGCTGGGAGAGATCATCA